GACCTGATCAGCGCCCTTCAAAAATTTCTACTCGGATGCTTTAATTGTACAAAGTATATTTTTGATTTATGAATTCCAAGCAATTATGTTTCTCTTAAAAAATCAGAGATGTAAAAGTGTTTTGGAAAAGGTGAAGGTCAAAAATACAATAAATCGGTAAGTATAATAAATAGAATTAGTAATACTTTCGTTCTATTTATTAACCTTATTTAAATACAATCATAAAGATATAAGATAAATTTTTGCTTTTTGATTATTGAGGAAGAACTCACTGACGTAAAATGTCTAATATTATTATTTTCAATGTTTCCAATATTGGTCCATAATTTGAAAGTAACAATGTCTCTTAGAACATATTCCTGTTTTATAAATGTGAGTTTGTGCAAGCTATATGCAGATAATATAGAAGTGAATGTGAAAACGGAAATATTCGTAATCCTATTAAAAAAATATTCATTCAAATGGAATGAAAAAGTATTCGTTTCTTGACGACTAAAAATGAAATGTATTCGAATGGGTATTTTCATTCATTTTTTTCAAATATTAGATGTATTCATCGAGCACGTTACCTTTTTCAAAATCTTTTTACATCATCATCTTTGATTTTTGAATTGAAACATTTCAATTGCTTGGAATTTATAGCGCATAAATAAAAAATATACTTTGCACAAATAAAGCATGTATTTTCACAATTTTTAATGACTTAGATACGAATATTACTATTTGCTACAAGAGGGAAGTCTTTTAAAGGTTGCAGCGCAAAAATCGAAATTGCTTGGAAATAATAGCGCATAAATCGAAGATATATTTTGCATAGTTAGATAGCATAATTTTGCAATTTTAGAGATGAATATGATTGTTTGCTCCAAGAGGGAAGTGCCTTTTAAGGGATGCAGCGCAAAAATTGAAACTATGTGAATATGTAAGCGCATAAATCCTGTGTACTTGATTTTTTTCCTAATCGGTTGTTATTAACACGTGGGGGACTGACAACCTCCTCAGCCGTCCCCCCACAAAAAATTCTTTTTTTAGCTGAACGAAATGAGCTCAAAAATTTTTTTTGCCGACTTTGAGAGTGCATAAATAACGCATTATTATACAGTGATGGGAGAAAGTTCGGCAACGGTTAAATATCTTGGAAAATAATGCTTATGGAAAAAAATGTTCAATACAAAAGTTTTAGTATATCAAGTGGTCTATTATATGGTTATGTTGAAATGACCTTCATGTGACCTTGAAGGACACCGTGAAGGTCAACTTTGAAATCTTAAATGGAAATACCTATTTTCTCTTACATATCCTTAAAGCTGGTGTCAAGACGTTTCCGAAACACTCGTTACAAACCCTTTTTGCTTGAGATCTTCCTGAGTTAAGAACCTTTAAAGTTTAAGTATCGTCGGCGCGTTACTAAGGTATGCGCGCGCGCGCGCGCGCACACACACACACACACACACACACACACAAACGCGCGCGCGCGCAAGACTCACTTTGATCAAGCATCTCGAAGAGGTGGATATCCGACCATGCCACCTCCACGCAGTATACCTTAGATAACGCGCCGGCGATACTTAAACTTTAAAGGTTCGTAACTCAGGAAGATCTCAAGCAAAAAGGGTTTGTAACGAGTGTTTCGGAAACGTCTTGACACCAGCTTTAAGGATATGTAAGAGAAAATAGGTATTTCCATTTAAGATTTCAAAGTTGACCTTCACGGTGTCCTTCAAGGTCACATGAAGGTCATTTCAACATAACCATATAATAGACCACTTGATATACTAAAACTTTTGTATTGAACATTTTTTTCCATAAGCATTATTTTCCAAGATATTTGACCGTTGCCGAACTTTCTCCCATCACTGTATAATTTAGTCATTAAGATTTGGTTAAGTGAGGGGGCCAGCTAGGCAGACGTGTTAAATATGTAAATACATGTAAAGTAAATCGGGGTAAGACGCCACACTTAAGCCTTTATTCTTGAATAATTTCTTAAATTAATGTTATTAATTAACCTACAAAAAAATATCATTTATATTTTAGAAACCTTTCTTTAGTTATACAAATTAACGAATTAAATTTTTGATATTCCATATTATTGGAAAAAATTGATGTCATACTTGACTGACCAGAAAAAAAAAATTTTTTTTTAATCGACCTCTCAGCTCAAAAGCTTCTATTTCGTGCCAAAAGAACATCCCTAAATTTTTATTAAAAAATATTAAGCTTTAGACGTAGTTAGTGAACGATTTTTAAATCAAAGTTTTGATTTCCCTTAATACATGTTTGATTTGATGCAAAAATAGCTTAATCCGGATTTTAAATGTGATACTGTATGTTTTTTTGGTCGCTGAATACGATGTAATAATTCATTTAGCTATATGTATATATACCGAGATCCTAAAACGAAGCTCGAACTCTGACGAAGCCACCAGAGATCGCTGTTTTTCCAGCGCATTGACATGTACTTTATATACTACCCCATCGATACCTCACGCAACCTACGATACACGCAGTCGTACGTTCGTGTCAATTTTCGTATAACAAATTTGTCACGATAAAGCGTCTAAGTCTAATTCTAAGAATTCGACGGTATTTGTTCGTGTAAACTACACTGAGAGAAAATGAAATAGTTCTAGCAACTATAAATTTGGCAACTTTTGCAATTGAAGTACCTGTAACTAGTTTTATAAAGTAATAGAAACTGAAGTATGCTGAATGTTATAAAAATATAGTCACGGTAACAAATTGTACGCACTATTAATTGGTAGTGAAATAGTGGTTCAACTACATTGAGATGATTAGTTACTTGGACTTCATGCAAATAGATATAACATTTATATTTTTTTGTTTATATAGACAAAAACTTTTTAAAAATAAAATACTCTATCTCATGTAACTAATTAATCATTGTTGAGGTAATTTTAAAGAATACGTTAAAAATCTTTTCTCTAAAGTCGCTCAGCAGGAATAGTACGCATTGTCACCAAAAAGATGTCGGAATTCAGTTTCTCCCAAGAAGAAAATCACTCAGCTTACAATAAAAATTGCAGCGTTGGTTTCGAACTTGGAAGACAAAAATAAATCAGAAATACATACACAAATTTCTAACTATGTATTATAAGAATTATGATTTAATAAAAACAATAAGTAATTAAGTGAACTAAGAAAATATAGTAATATTAACTATTTGTAATTGATTATATGATTAATGTTATTATATTTTCTTAGCTCACTTAATCTAGTTCTTATTAGAATTGAATAATATGTATTAGAGTTGAATGATAGTATATAGTTGAGGCTCTATTTCACTACAAATTTATAGTTACTAATACGACTTTTCTTTCTGAGTGTACGTGTTTGTGGATTACTATTTCGTATTAAGTATACAGGTTGCAAAACTTTCGTATTAAGCAAATATTGTCACAACTTGACAGCTTGAGACGCTTGTTACACGAAGAAATGATAAAAATATATCAGTTTCGAAATTTTTGGTCGTTCTCGGTATAAATTCCACCTCACAAACACATATTAATGCGTATACTTTAATCCTGGAAAAGGATTTTTGAATCTGTGAAAAAGAAAAAAATATTTGTTATACAAAAATTATATGATTTAATCGGTAATACGAACGGCTTTAGGATCTCCTTAATCGAGAGGTAAGCTCATATAATCTTTGTATAACAAATACTTTTTTTCTCGGTAACGATACCGAGTTTGTAGAACTAAGATTTAAAGTCTAGAAAAGAAATACTTTCACCGAATAGAAAATACGTGTATATAGGTGCTTTGCGAAGACTAGGACTGTCAACAGAGCCGAAATTCCATATAGCAGTAGTTGTGCGGTCTTGCGATAGATGTTGCTGGCATATGTTAGATAAGAACAGATGTATGCGTTTGAGTAAGACAGAATGATATATATTATACAGGGTGTATAAAAAGTCCCGGACCCCTTAAATATCTTGAAGAGTAATTATTTTTGAGAAAAATGTTTTATACAAAAGATATAGGGTTGAAAATGATCTATTGACTAACCTTATCAATTTGATCTTGGATGGTGCCACCAAGGTCAAGTCAAGGTCAAATCGATTTTTTTAAACAAAATACCCTATTTTTGATTCTAGAATCTAATAGCTGAGGTTGGGAGCTTTCCAAAACACTATAATAAAGCCTCTTTTTAATCAGTACTTTTCATGTTATGAGAGTTGAAAGTTACGGAACCGCCGCGGCATTAGCATTACCTAAGCTAAGATGATCGTATCCATTTTAATGATGCGAAGATGGGATGATCATAGGAGGTCTTACGCAAGCGACAAGACTTTTCAATCAATTTTTTAGAAATAAAGACAATGGTATATCTAAATCAACTGTCATTCGTTTGAACATTTGTCATTCCTTTAACCCAACTCGCCTTACCTACCAGTTTTTAATTATTTTCTCGGCTAGACCCCCCCGGGATCTGGAACTTCGTCAAGTTATATCTCTGAATAGAAAACATATTTTTAACTTATCACATGCAAAATTGATATCTCTAGAATAAGACAAGTACAAATAAACAAAGATGAAACAAAAAATATTTTATTCTTAAATTACATCATAAAAAGTTAAAGTCTGAATTGCAATGTGAAAAATCGCATTAAATACGTCATATCCCAGTATGGCGAGCTAGGGTTAAAAGAATATTACATATTATAGTGCGCGCGCGCGCGCGCACACACTCACACACACACACACACACAAATACTCAAATTGGCGTCCCTCCGCACTCTGACAATGTGCTAGACGATTATAAAAACTTAAGACTGCATTTCTACAGAATTCGCGAGGCATTATTCTAAATTTATTTATTATTCGTTGACGTAAATCATTAAGATTTCTAGGTTTAGTATTATAAATTTTTCCCTTTAAATATCCCCACAAAAAAATAATCGAGTGGATTTAGATCAGGCGATCGTGCTGGCCATTCAATGTAATCCCTTCTTCCTATCCACCTATTCAGAAAAACTTCATTTAGATATTGGCGTACTCGTAAACCGTAGTGAGGTGGCGCCCCATCTTGCTAGAACCAAATGTCATTGAAGTTTTGACAAGCGATGTTTCGGATTGCCGGAACTATTTCATCTTGAGGCATGGCTAAATAATTGTCAGCGTTTAAATTACCTTCAATAAAGAAAGGCCCAATAATGGCTTCATTTAAAATTCCAGCCCATACGTTGACTTTTTGCTGAATCTGAGTATGTGCCTCGTACATCCAATGAGGATTTTCATCGCTCCAATATCTGCAATTATGTCGATTTACATTCCCGATTAGCTCAAAAGTAGCTTCATCTGAAAAAATAATGTCGTCTACAAATAAAAGATTTCTATCGATATTTAACATCATACTTTCACAAAATTCAATGCGACGATCAAATTCATCTTCACAAAGTTTCTGCGCCAGATGGATCTTATAGGGATGAAATTTTTCCTTTTTTGGAATTTTATGAACTGACATAGGATTGATGTCGTGTTGTTGTGCAACTTTACGAACTGATTTACGCGGATCTTCGATAAAAGAGTGTAGAACATTCAATCTTTTATTAGGATTTGTAGCTATTGCTGTTCTACCTTGTCTATTACGGTCTTTTACGAAACCTGTTTCTTCAAAACGCGTTGTACAGTACGAATAACAGTCGATTTAGATATACCATTGCCCTCATTCCTAAAAGTTTGATTGAAAAGTTCTGTTACATGTGCGTAAGATCTCCTACGATCACCCCATCCTCATCATTAAAAGGGATATACGCTCCTGTTCAGTAAACATTATAAAGTATTTTAAATAAATACTTTATAAACAAAGATAACTATGTAGCGATAAGCAATTTCAGAATGGAGTATCACGAAAAAGTATACCTTCTCAATCGCAGGTCACAGAAAGAGTGAACTTGACAGGACAGATCTCTAGCTTATGTAGTCTCCAGCTTTGTTGAATGAATGGGTAGGAGGGAGAGGGAATGGAAAGGAGTAGGAGGGAAAGGCGAGGAAGGAGAAGAAAAGGGTAGAAGGGAGGAGGAGATAGAGGTACAGACATTCGGGTACATACATACATGACTCATAAATCCAGTCGGTCAATCTCTACGTATTACCTTAGATAATGCTAATGTCGGCGGTTCCGTAAATTTCAACTTTCATAACTTGAAAAGTACTGATTAAAAAGAGGCTTTATTATAGTGTTTTGGAAAGCTCCCAACCTCAGCTATTAGATTCTAGAATCGAAAATAGAGTATTTTGTTTAAAAAAATGGATTTGACCTTGACTTGACCTTGGTGGCACTATCCAAGGTCAAATTGATAAGGTCAGTCAATAGATCATTTTCAACCCTACATCTTTTGTATAAAACATTTTTCTCAAAAATGATTACTTTTCAAAATATTTAAGGGGTTAGGGACTTTTTATACATCCTGTATAATATAATGTAAAAACTGAATCAAAGATGTCACCACTATTATCGAATTTGGAATTAAAAAAGTCTGTACTTGATCAGACTACATCGACCTTGATCGACTTAGGTAATCGGTTTAGCATCCCCTTAAGGGGATGCTAGAGTGCCCTGTTTACCAATGAAGTATGATTAATTTTCTTCGACTCGTTTCTCTTAATTGCACTTACGGATTGAAAAGTCCTTCTCACAATTAAAGTATTGACAACAACACTGGCTGCCAGCTACAATTTAATACGAAAAATGAAAGAAAATTAAAAATTGTAGTTTTGTCACCGGCTCCTGCAGTCAACTCGTCACAATATATACTGCATACAAAAGTTTCAGATTTTACCCGTTTAAAATAAGTAGCCAGCAGCCTACAGAAAATCTTGAAGAACAATACTATGCCTGTAGAAATGAGCTACAGGTAGAAGCTTTATTATAAGAGAAAAGCGTCGCCAAAAATTTCGTTCGTATGCTACGAATAAAATTGACGCGAAGCCTTGAAACCGAGCAGTATTTTAGTTGATTTATTTTTAAGAGATGGCGTTGCAATATGTTAGATAAGAACAGATGAATGCGTTTGAGCGAGACACAACGATGTATAATAAGTATAAGAAATGAATGAAAGATGTCACTACTATCGAATTTGGAATTTGAAAAAGTCTGTACTATCGACTTCGATCAAGTTCGGCCGTCGATTCAGCATCCCCTTAAAGAGGTTGTAAGGCAAATGCAATATGTCAAGAATGACTTGAAAAAATTACAGTATCACTATTAAAATCTAATTTAAGCCATTTTTGCATTAAACCAAACATGTATTAAGGAAAATCTAAACTTTTATTTAAAAATTGTTCACTAGCGACCACTAAATTTTAATAATTTTTTTATAAAAATTTAGGGGTGTTCTTTTAGCATGAAATGGAAGCTCTTGAACAGAGAAGCCGATTATAAAAAAAAATTTTTTTCCTTTATTTTTCTAATGTCTTATCCTGCAAAAGTGGCATCTTCACCCTATATATGGGTAAGATGCCATCTTCTTGGGAGAAGATGTCACAACCAATTAAATAATATAATGCAATACAAACTTCCATATTTACTTATTTACAGTTCATAACCAAGAATTGAAACTATAATAAAGACGCATAAAGTATGATAAAATATAAATTGAGGAAATATGAAAAAGAGTAATTTAGGATGTAAATTGGACATACTTTTATTCGTTTAAACACCATTTCATTAACTTATTATAAAATATTTCGAATTATATAAAATATTCAAAATTTTAATGACGTTTTCAAACAGGAAAGATTGTGTTTTGTATTTACTGTCACCTTATCCCCAAGTGTAAGAGGAATATCTAATTGCAACTTTTTCGTATATAAGAATATTACAAATTATAATCCATATCAGCCACATGACTATCAGGAAGCACTGATCAAAACCGTTCAATCATTTGTTCGGTTTTGAAGCACAAACCTTAGCTATTATCGTATAAAATATTATAGAGTATATTTTATGACCTACCTTTTTGTACATTGTCAAATATTTTCCAGTCGGCATGAACTTTTTGATAATTGCACCAGTATTCACATACTTCTACTATATAGGGTAAGTTGAGGGAATATGCCACACTTAAGCGAAATTAGATTTTTTAGTAATTATTTGTTCAATTTAAAATAACTTTACATATTGATCTTTTTCTTCCATTCTTTATATATTAATTGGAATCAAATATATTCATTTTTTGTTATTAAAAATAAAGAAATACGAAAGTACTGAAAAATGGGTAATATGCCACCATGGGGATAATATAATGCCACATACAAAAAAATACTCAGTATAACATTTATTTTGTTTTTTTATTGCAAGAACACATTATTAATGATTTTTGTGATAAAAATAAACATTTGTACAACTTTGCTTCCGCCGTTTTCCTATAGATGGCTTTAGCGGTAAGTGGTGGTCGAAATAAATAGATCATAGACGTCATACAATAAACTTGGGCATCTGTCAACATAACCCTATAGAAACATTAGTCGATTTGTTTATGTGTCTGTATCATAAAGTTATTCTCGATTGAAGTGTCAGTTTACGAGCCAAATTTTCGTTATTTGCGGGAGGTTTTAATTTTCTGCTTCAATATGAAGAAATCTGCGGCTGAAGCTCATCGAATGCTCTCAAATACTTATGGTAAGGCCGCTAATAGTGAAACAACGTGTCGTGAGTGGTTTCAACGCTTCAAGAACGGTGATTTTGACGTCGAAGACCGGCATAGCGGTGGAAGAGAGAAGGTTTTCGAAGATGCAGAATTGGAAGAATTACTTGATCAAGACTCGTGTAAAAATCATGAAGAATTGGCACGATCATTAGGAGTGACTCAACAAACCATTTCAAAACGTCTCAAAGCCATGGGAATGATTCAGAAGCAAGGAAATTGGGTGCCGTACGAGTTGAAGCCGAGAGATGTTGAACGGCGTTTGTTTGCTTGTGAACAGCTGCTTGAAAGGCAAAGACGGAAGGGTTCTGCATCGCATTGTGACTGAGGACGAAAAATGGGTTCATTGCGATAACCCCAAGCGCAGAAAATCATGGGGAGTTCCCGGCCATGCTTCCACGTCGACGGCCAAACCGAATATTCACGGCTCCAAGGTCATACTCTGTATTTGGTGGGACCAGCTCGGCGTAGTGTATTATGAGCTGTTAAAACCGACTGAAACAATCACGGGCGTCGGTATCGAACGCAATTGATGCGTTTGAGCCGAGTATTGAAAGACAAACGGCCGCAATACAACGAGAGATACGATAAAGTGATTTTGCAGCATGACAATGCTCGACCCCATGTTGCGAAAGTGGTCAAGACATACTTGGAAACGTTGAAATTGGAAGTCCTACCGCACCCGCCGTATTCTCCAGACGTTGCTTCCTCTGACTATCACTTGTTTCGATTAATGGCACACGGCCTGGCTGACCAGCACTTCCGGTCTCATAAAGAAGTAAAAAATTGGATCGATTCATGGATCGCCTCAAAAGATGACCAGTTTTTTCGACGCGGGATTCGTAAGCTTCCCGAAAGATGGGAGAAAGTAGTGGCCAGCGATGGACATTACTTTGAATCATATAAATGTATAACCAGTTTTTTACAATAAAGCCTCGAATTTCGAAAAAAAACGGCGGAAGCAAAGTTGTACACCTAATACTTCTTAGGTATTTTCAACAAAAAAAAAAGAAAAATTGGGAGAAAACAGGAAAGAGTAATAAGCAACTAAATTAAAGCAAAGTATTGAAGCAAAGTAAATTAAATATCACATTTATCTTTATTTGTTTATCTTAATGTATAAAAAATTGTCTCGAACATATTAAAAAAAACGTAGAGATCTCTCAAACATCTTCAAAAAACATGGAGACTACAAAACATAACTTTGTAATGTTGTACATCGCTATTTCTCACACTATTTTTTTAACATTAATAAAGTTCCAAACATTTTGTCGGACAATCGGTTTCTTCTTGGAGTTAAATTTTGGTCACCTGCATTGAACAGCCTTTCAACAGGTGTTGAAAACGGCAGAATAGTATTATACTGTCTAAATACTTTTTAAATTAAATTTTAATTTATTAACGAATCAACAGTCTTGTTTTCATCTTCAAAGTAGAGTAAACATTCTATTTGTACGTTTAGCTTTTCTATTGAATTATTTGTATTGGAATTCTTGATGAAATCATGAAAGAAATCTTCATTAACTACTCGTTGAAGAGTTCTCTTCATTTGTGCTTACTTCCCGTCGGTACAACCTTTCACATTCGCATAAAAATAAAGTTTTTACTAAGTTGTATTTATCATCGCTAATATTCAGCCATCTCAATTTAAATTTTGGATGTGAAATCGTTGCCAAAATGTAGGATTTAGCGTTGTTCAAGTCCAAAATATCCTTATATCTTGTATACCATCAAGAATAGCATTTTTGAGCGGTGTGCAGTAAATTAGATGACTTAGTGAATTTAAAGTTTTTTTAATTTGAAATAAGGTAGGAATTACGTAGCCTAAATAGCAAATGTCCTCATTTTACAGGAAATCTAAAGACTTTGCGATCAGTCCCATTACGGTAACATATTCAACTAGAAACTCAATTTTAGTGCTTTTTAATTTAGGTTTCTGGAGTTTTTCGCAAATTGCCCTGGGCAAATTTGCGTCTGGGCAAATTGTTATACATAGGGCCCGGAGGTAATTGAAGAACGCTGACATTATTGACAATTGATTGGCGAGACGTTGATTGGCTATCGCGTTAACTTCCGCCGCACG